AGGGGCCGTGTCCCTCAGGTCACTGCTCTGAGTCCTCGACATTGTAGCCAGTGAAATCCATGTGCCTGCAAAGCCGTGTCGGGTCCTGGGGGTTGCCCACTCCATCCTCCTATTGGACACCCGGATTGCAGAAGCTTACATGGCAGCTCTTCCTCATGCTTGCAGGCCCTTCTTTCCCAAATATCTCTTCTGGGCTACATGATTTATGCTGACATTAAACCCTGAAAGGCTTGTAACAGTGTCTCCATAAAAAGGACCCGGTCCCTGATCTGACTTCATCTGACCTGCACATACGTGAGTCCTTTCATATGTCTGCTTTAACAGCTCTTGGTGGCACTAAGCCTGAAACCCTCCCCACTGAGGATATTTCTCCGTGAAAACTGATCACAATACCATGCTTCGTTTTAAAGTGTTTTCCATTTTTATTTCAATGTAGGAAACAACCGAGTCACTGATAATTATGGGGGAATAAATCCTTCTCCAGGAACATTGGAGGAAGACTTGCGGTAATGTTTTTATGGCAATTTTCACCTGCTAGGTAAAGTCCACTTGGCTCATGTAACAAGTATTCTCTGTGAAGTCCTTGCATGGGGCATTTCTTTCATAACAAGTATGGTCTTTCATGTATCTTTATTTAATAATGTTTGATATAACTTCTTCACAGGAATGAAGTACGGGAGATGCTGGAAGGATTTCAAGGTACGTTTGAGTGATATTTACAACTAGAGAACATTGTTTTAAACTATATAGCTTTTATAAATGGAAATGTTTATCCCTGGATTACATCCGTTGCCCTCAGATACTTTTTTTTTTTCTAGACAGGTATTTAGTGTGATTCGACGTTACAGGTTTCCGTTACTTGCCTTTTGAGTTGTTGATGTGGGAAGTGAAAATGATACTAACAGTGATGCCAGTCTTGCTTTTTGAAATGATGCCTGTCTTATACCTTTTAAATGTCTTTGCATATTGCTGAGGCGGCATTTACCCATTTTGATTTGAATATATGGGAAGAAAATAATTTTCAACATTAATCTTTAATGAATAAATATTTTCTATGTAGATGACATTAAACGGGCTCTTCTTGCAAAGAGAAAAATGTTTGAGATGAATATGAAAGCTTCTATCAGCACCACTAATGCAAAAATTGGGCATGTTTGGAAAACACAACTAGAACAAAGGTAAAGTTGGTGGTTTTTTTCAGCCACAACAACATTTGTATAATTTCTTAGTGTTCACTGGTGCAGATAACCTAAGGCAAATACTATCATATTGCATTTTCCAGTGAAAAACACATTTTGCTTGATTTTTTCCCTAAGCAGATAAATTCTTTAGTTCGGTAACCTCACTCCTTAACAGAATTGAGATGTATTTCCTAGAAGCCACTAAAGATGACCTTTTCCCCCCTTTCAAATAACAATTGAGTTTTTGTCAGATGAAATTAATTTATATTCATTCTACACCCATACTAGCTGAACGTAAGGTAAATGTCTTCAATCATTATCCTTGTGATAGTTAATTGTATTGTTATGTAGAAAAGGTTAATCTTATATTGTGAAAAGTTCGTCAATTTTAGCGGAACTGTGTTCACAGTTCTTTTTTCAAAATCATTGTTGTGCCAAAGAGGGGAAGTATTTGAGTGAAATATTCCTGTTTGGACATCTCTGATGAATGGATGTAGTAACCTCATCGAATCTACTTACTGTATTAGAACACACAAGTTACTCAGTAAGAAGAAGTGAAAAGTAAACTGCTTTCAGATGAATGAATTTTTATGGGAAATTTATAGTACAGTAAATCTTCATTAGTTTTCAGGAGGTAGAGAGCACGTGACATAGCATTTGTGTTATTCAGTTAGGAATAGTCATTTTGGAATTAAAGAGTAAATCATCTACTTAACCTTTCTGTTTCCCATGAGACTGTTTTAGCTGCTGTTATGCTGTCACTGCCTTCTCCTTGTATAGTGTAAATTGTGTCAGGTCAGTTTTGTTTTGAGTGTGGTTAATGTTTTCTCATATCTTATGAAGTATGACAGTGCTCATTGTTACGTTTTACAGGCAGAATCTTCATCTCCGATATTCTCGGCAGCTTCGGACTTTGCTTCGGGAGTGGAATATAGACGTGCAGAAAGCCCAGGAACAAGAAGAAAAACTAGCTGTTGGTATCAGCCTTAGCTTTCACATTAGCTCGTTGTATCAAAGTCTCGAGTAGCAGTAGCTCAGGCAATAATACAGGAGAGAAGGTAGAGCCCATGAACCCAGAGTGGAAGATGTAGTGATGGGAGCCTGAATGTTCTGTTTCGGTTGCTTCTGTCTGTTTAGTGGAAATAGTAAGTTTACCAGTTGGGAGTTAGGACGGTGGAGGAAGTTGTTGCCTTTTGAAGGCAGAGAAGGCGGGTTAGAATTGTTTCCCCCCCCCCCCCCCCGAGAGGACTAGGGAAATCTTGTTGCCAGGCAGCATTAGGGATCTAACTTAGGTTAGTGTCATAGTGACCGTGAATTTAAAGTGTGAGACGACTTGGCATAGTTGTGGCAGAGCAGCTGGAGAGGTGGATTTTCCCCAGGTTGGGGTTTAGCCGTGCAGATTGACAGAGTGAGAAGGGGCCAAGGTACGTGTGCAAGGGCATAGGTATAATGATTGACCATGGAATTTAAGCTGGGAAGGAGGAAAGGGGAGGTCATGAGAGTCGGGGCTGGGGACAGTGAAAAGTCTTAGGATCCCGACAGAGTATTGATTGAACTACATGTAGCAAGGAAGGGAATGAACTACAAGCTGGGAGGTAGTGATTGAACGCTGGGAGACATGGAGAAACAGCATAGTGCAGTGGTCAAGAGCCTGGACTCTGGAACCATACATGTTTGGGATGCAATTCTGTTTGACCAGCGGTAGCTGTGAAACCAAGGACAGATTGTTTGCCTCTCTGCCTGAGTCTCCTCATCCATGAAAGGGGACACACTAAGAGTCCCTACCTCGTAGAGCTGTTTTGAGGTTTGGTGGGGCTTTTTTGAATTTTTTTTTATTGATGTATAGTCAGTTTACAATGTTCTGTCAATTTCTGGTGCACAGCACAATTTTTCAGTCATACATGGATCTACATATATTCATTTTCATACTCTTTTTCACTGCAAGCTACTACAAGATATTGAATATGGTTCCCTGTGGCATACAGAATAAATTTGTTTATCTATTTTATATATACCAGTCAGTATCTACAAATCTCGTACTCCCAGTTTATCCCTTCCCACTCCCTTCCCTGCTGGCAACCACAAGTCTGTATCCTATGTCTGTGAGTCTGTTTCTGTTTTATATGTGAGTTCATTTGTCTTTTTTTTTCTTTTTTAGATTCCACATGTGAGTGTTATCATATGGTATTTTTCTTTCTCTTTCTGGCTTATTTCACTTAGAATGACATTCTCCAGGGACATCCATGTGGCTGCAAATGGCATTATTCTTATCATTTTTATGGCTGAGTAGTATTCCATTGCATAAATATACCACATCTTCTTTATCCAGTCAT